ATTCAATTTAGGTAGACTTAACAGATTTGGTTATGTTAAGACAGAAAAAGAGGATCTTAGAATAATAAGGCTTATTGGGAAGCCATGACAAAGTCGTAAAATAGTTTTACTATGTTTACTATGCCAAAAACCTCTTCTATTTTCTTATTATTAGCGAGAAAAAAAATTCTTCCTCACTGCACGCTATCGATCAGACAATTATCTTAATATATTCTTTCCTCATGTTTGCACTGAAACGTCTACAAAAACAAATAAAAAAACAGCAATATATAAAATATGTTGAAATGCTCAACTAATATATTAACAAAAATTGTTCAATTCAATAGTTGAATTATTATGTCGCGAAAAAGTGGCGAAGACACTCGTGGAAGCAGAAAAGGTGAGCAAGACTATTCAAAAACAAACACATCAAAATTGAGCGATTTGTAACATGAATTGTCAAAGCTGAATCGCTTACATACTTCCATATAAATCATTTTATCAATTGTTCAAACTGAACGCCTCAATAGAATAGATGCCCATGTATGCGATCGAAACACAAACAAACACGGTAAGATATTGGATTGATTAGATCATTTCTTACTATTCAATTATAGCTCTACTTATGTGCTTAGTCTTTGTATTGCTTATATTTTCTAGCAATAAACCAATCAAATTTTTTCGGGGATATGAGTATGGGTGTAATGGAGCACTAGACAAACACTCACACCCTACACTCAAATCTTGCCCCACCCGTCACATTACACACTCACACTCATACTCTTGTTATGAAACATCTTCATTAAGTTGAGTAACTAACTCGTAGATGTGAATAGCAAGCACAGAAAGTCGTTCGTACATAGACTTGAAAGTCACTTGCACAATCGTGCCATATATGATAATGAGAAGAACTAAGTGTACTGTATTTACACAAAATTTGAGTTAAGGATCGAGTGATTTCAGAATGAACGCTTTTTGCTTTTAATAATTTTAATAATACAAACAGTTCACTTAAAAAAGCTTAGATAAATTTAGATAATAAAGAGTTTCATATATAATTGTAAGGCTAAAATTAGATTAGAGATGTCCAATAAAAGATTTTTATATCAGTTTGTGTTCAAATAGCAACCATTTGATGCTGTAATTCATTCTGTTAATCATTTACCAGGTTTAACTCGCCAGCACTCGTTATGAAAGGTCTTTTTTACGCATATGTCTGGTTCGCAGCATCAACTTCGTGTTAATATGCTACATGTTATACATTTGCCCTGAGCACGTTTTACGTAGTCATCAGCAACATCCAAGAACGCTCTGGCCTTTGCATTAGATATTTGAAAATCATCGTCATCGTCTATTCGTATTTGACGAGCATTGCTACTTTTCATGAAAACCATTATAAATTGTGCCAGAAATAACATAAAAACTATGCTTGAACGCATGGTATACTACAAATGCTAAACGGACAAAATAGATAGTAATAATTATAATTTTTCATGTATTTTAGTATAATTGCTCTGAATATTTAAACAGTATTTCTCGTATATATTACAGGTATGATATGAATAAGTGCCTCCGCGACACAAAGTAACCACTATTCTTACTTAATGTACAGTCTCGGTATATTTTGTAACACTATAATAGGCATGTTTATATATGTTTATAAACATTTTGTACAATCTTTAGCCACGACCGTCATACCAACCTCAGGGACAGATTTTATACAATAATCAACATGTACGCACTGAACTACTATAAATCTTATTCTAAATATTGGTTGTGCATTCCAGCTTTTAGAATAAATATACATCTGTAAACAAAATGATCGATTCTTAAGTATAATTAGAGAAACAAAAAAGTTAGATTCAAAGTTGACAAAATAGTAACAACACATAATTTTAATATAGATCATATTCTCTTGAAACTAGGTTCACTACACACTTCGTATCACATTTGTTTCTTATTCAATGTCATTTTTAAAAGTATTAGATCATGGTAAATTTCACGTTTAAAATTAGCTGCTATTACAATTATGTCAATTCTAAAACTATTATTTTTGAACAAATTGTAATGTATTAAAGTCAAATTCAGTAATTAAACATAGATTAGTTTTTTCAATTGTAATTACTCAACCAAGAAAGAATACAGATGTATAGTAATGATAAACAGGACACTGTAAAAAGCTACTAGATGTGTCATAGAATGAATGGCCGATTTTCTCTCGCAAATTGTAAACAAAATATTTTCAATGAAAAATAAATGGGAGACAGTTTTACGGAGTACGGAAGTGAAGGAACTTTCTCATAAATTGGTATAATATACATCTCTAAACAAAAAAAAATATGATAAATATCGTATTCTCAGAAATATTTTTTTATAGTCAATGCAGATGTCTTCTATGGCGAATCCCATCAAATGAAATCTATTTTCAAGTAAGATAAGGATGGCTAGATTTTCAACTGTGCACTACTGCTGCTAAATCGGGATATCTACCCCTGCTTTATAATCTTATCCTCCTTCACTATTTCATTTTGAGAAATATAGTTGAGTTTGAACTTTAAAGTCACTTTTTTAAACTATAATTTTATATTTAACGATCCATGCAAGTGAAAATGTGATGCCCTCTTATCCGAAACTCTCAAATAATGTACATTTCTAATTATAACGTCGAATAACAAGTAAATATGGAGTCTCGATTGATAATTTCTATCTAGAACGCAAAATTTGATAGACGATGATGGAAATAATGTATGGTTTTCGAAAAACTTCTAATATTATCCGTTTGTAAGATAAAAAATTACGGTGAAAGTCAGTTGAAATTGAGAAACTGTATGTTGGATGCTTCAATTGTACTCATAACGTACATATCAAAACATTTCATACTAATCAATCTTTGTTTTTATCTATCATTTGCTTTCGTAACGGCGGTCATAAACATCTGAACGAAATGAGTTCAACTATATGTTGAAATTGTCCATCTTTATACCTGCACTAGGCAAAGTGTTAAAACGTGTGAAAGCATAGATTTACTTCATTATCAACTCCAACTTTATACCGATTGAAATTACCAATCCTAACAAAAGACAGTTTGTGTCATTTAAATCAGTATCACTGTACCACTTTCCAATGCAAATCTTAATATTAATGCTTACCTTGATTTGAATTTGTATTGTAAAGAATCGAATATTTGTGCCTATTCGTTATTAAAAACCTCCAAATATTATATATCTTTTTATACGCATGTTATTTCTATAATCCTTCACTGCACGAGAAAAAAAGATAAAAATTATCAAATACTCTAGAGAATTGTAAATATTTAACTATAATACGCTTTGGAGTTATATTTCATTCATTATTACTGTTCACCTGAAGGCTTTTTCTTTCGTTTATTTAGCGGCACTTCTTTTACAAAAATCTCTAATCGACTCATTCTCTATATAATATTATTTCTTCTTAATATCGTACAGCAACGGTAGTGATATTTGCATAAATACTATGGATAATATATTGTTAACTACTTAGTAGTCAAATCTTCGAATATGTGCAACAGTGATTATTCATACACAAATACAAAAAGATTTCTAACCTATAGGTTATTTAGTTTTATGAATAATCCTACACATTTTCTGTGCACTCACAGTATATTTCTGAGATTTATTTTTAATCAATGACAGAGACATGTCTAGAGACACCCTTTGTTAAGTATCACTAGTGGCCTTAACAAAAAAATTTTACTTTTTTACAGATGGAAAAGAAAATACTTAACAAAGGATCTCTCTAGGCATGTCTTTATGGATATAAAGCTTAAATATGCCTCTACCATTGAAAAAAAATCAGCTCGTTTACTCGATCCATAATGGAGATGTTCAATTTTTTTTCGGTAAAATGACTTTTGCATCACCCTGTATTTTCAAACACTTGACCTTGAAATAAGCACACTGTTGGATAGTCATCTTAGCTATTTGTTGATTTACGCGAACAAACTGTGAGCTACATTCATGATTCAGGTGATTTCGATTGTACATTTAAAAAAATAGCAGGTGTAAGTGTGAGTGTAGGTCTTATCTTCACCCGCACCCACACTCAACTTTAAGCGTATTATTGGTGTCTAATTGGAAAGAAATAGATCAATAGAAAATAGTAGATTCTATGTAAACCATTAAAAATAAGCAAAAGCTGTAGTAAACAAGAACATCAATTATAGTTATTATTAGATACATCCTTCATCAGATCGAATAGGACTGGCGAAATCATTGAGAAGATCGATTGATAAAAGGATCTCTATCAAAAAATAAAAATGCAGACTTATCAAAGCTTGAAATATATTAAGTGAATTATTCATGTTATTAATTATTAAATAATTTGCACATTTATATACGTATAGCATATAAGCAAGTTAAACCCATGTTGGTAACCTTCATTCTGTGAGAATCAAAGAGTACAATATAATGTGCAAGAAGTTATCTTGCATTCAAATGTCATTAACACAGCATTCAAACAAAAAAAAAAACAAATAATTTTCAATAGTGATCTTTCAAACAACACTTCTTTTTATCGAGTACATGTCGACATTTTCTTACAAATCCATGAAATAATCAAACGATTTACTTCTTAATTGAAGATAATTCATATGACAACATTAGATTTTATAATAAAAAATGATCTGAATGTCATGACAAATAATAAAAAAGGAAAATCGTTGTTCTATAAAGTAATGACCTGGATCGACAAAACGCAGATGATATTTTTGATTATCTATTTACATAAAAATAAGTCAAATTTGCCATTATAAATATGACCTATCATAAGATAATAGTGTTGCTCTTATAAACTATTCATTTTCTTATTGTTCGATAGGAAAATTAAGGTATTTATGTTGTTTTATTTCTGTATCTCTTTTTATTATATCTTTATGTTCGAACTGCCACTATTGTTATTGCTTTTTTCTTCGTGACGAGAGCTCTCATTAAACAAAAAAACCTAAATCGATAATTTCAAATTATTTATTTTGAAAAACATAGAAAATGGCACTACGAACATTGAGCATTGTTGATTATATTTTTCTTATTATACTTCTTCTATCATCGGCTGTTATTGGTGTTCTTTTTGGATTTTTTAAACGAAAACAAAGTTCATCTAAAGAATATCTTCTAGGTATCAATATATCTATTTTATGAAGAATATAAAACTTTTTTTTCTCTTTTATAGCTGGTGGTAGTATGGGAGTAAGTAGTTGATTGGTGCTTTTCTTTTGAACTGATAATTTTATATACAGGTATTTCCAACAGCTCTTAGTATTATGGTGTCGTTTCTTTCTGCTATTACAATATTAGGAATACCTAGTGAAGTCTATGTTTACGGAACTATGTATATTTATCAAGGTGAATTATTTGTTTGTTTTTTTTCAATCTTGGATGTAAAAATGGATATGGGCATAAGTCCCACACCATTTCAGAATTGTTTTAGATCATGTGAATTTCCTCTAACCTAAAAAAAATGGAATCACACTTTCCCTTTTACATTCATAAAAAAACAAATGATGAATCATAAAACTGAATTGAATATTACATCCAATATTACTTATGTATTATTTAGTTGTTTATTTCAACTTTTTAGGTATTTCATACATATTGTCTTCAACAATAACAGCATTAGTATTCATGCCTAAATTTCGTGAAATGAATTGTACAAGTGCTTATGAAGTATCTTTGATAGTTCTATTGTTTGATATTACAAAATAGATTATCTAGTATTTAGAAAAACGTTTTGATAGAAAAGTACGCATGTGTGCATCATTTTCATATTCATTCCTTATGGTAAATAATCTGTTGAAATGTATAATTTATTTTTCTATATAACTAGTTGATCTATATGGCGCTTGTTTTATATGCTCCTGCATTGGCATTAAGTCAAAGTGAGTCGTTTATTCAATATCGGATAAGAAAAAACACCAATACATTTAGCTACTGGTTTAAATATTTGGCTTTCTGTTGTTTCAATAGGTGTAATTTGTACATTTTATTCATCAGTCGTATGTTAGAGATAAAAATATAAAACGAAGAGAATATAATTTATTTTGATAATAGGGTGGTATGAAAGCAGTCATTTGGACAGATGTTTTACAAGCAGTAGTAATTTTTGTCGGTATTCTTGCTGCTCTTATACAGGGTTTGAGAATGATCAAAGAAATATGTTTTTTTTATTATTATTATTTATGAATATTTAGGTTTTATAGTAGTTGGTGGTGTTAAGCGAACATTCTCAATAGCATACAATGGTGGCCGAATTGAATTTAATAGGTATTGTATGAGAAAATAAATCTTTTAGATTCGAAGACTCGGACAAAAATACAAACCAAGTAATGGTATAGTATATTTACAAAAATTTAGTAAAATATTTGAGACAAAGCAATCTATCAGATAGACAAGATGAATTATTTCGTTCTCTCGTACATGTGATTAGGACAATAGAATGTAGTTCCATCAAGGGGGAAAAAGCAAGACTTCGTACTTCACGTACTTCACCGTACTTCACTTGTACTTCACTTGTACTTCAGCTGTACTTCACTATACTTCACGCGTACTTCACTCGTAGGGGTACCCTAGGTCCTCAAGTCCTACTTTTGAAAAAAATTTTGTTTTCGAAAAATTTTCTTTTATACAGAAATAGACTTTTTGAGAAAAAAAAAATTTTTTTGGGAACACCCAAAATTTTTTTCAAAAGTAGGACTTGAGGACCTAAGGGTACCCCTCAAGGGGGAAAAAGCGAGACTTCATACTTCACGTACTTCACCGTACTTCACTCGTACTTCACTGTACTTCAATCGTACTTCAAATTGTTTTTGAAGTAGATGAAGTCTTGCTTTTTCCCCCTTGAGTTCCATACATCTCGATGGTGAGTATTGACCGTGAAAACTCTGACTGTATTTCAGCACAATTAAATATATTATATGCCAATAATAGACAAACCCAATAAGCCTCGATAACTTCTCATAAAAAACTAATTTTTTCTTGTTTTAAGTGTAAGTTTTGATCCACGCGTTCGTCATACAGTCTGGTCATTAATTATTGGTGGCGGACTTAATGCTTTATCTGTCTTTGGTTTTAATCAAACTCAAGTTCAACGTTATATGTGTGTTCGTACAACACGTGGTGCTAGACAAGCATTATTTATAAATGCAGTTGGTAATACTCTTGTTGTAATTTTATGTGGTATTATGGGAATTATTATTTATGCATATTATGTTGATTGTGATCCATATACAGCTAAATACATTTCAGGTATTGATCAAATATTTCCATATTTTGTTATGGAAGTATTAAGTGATAAAAAAGGTTTACCCGGAATATTTCTTGCTTGCATTTTTTCTGGTTCATTATCAACAATATCATCTGGTGTAAATAGTCTTGCAGCTGTTTTTATTGAAGATGTTTATAAAAGTTTAATGGGAAGAACATTAAGTGATGAACGACAAGGTTTTTTATCAAAAATCTTGTCAATTATATTAGGAGGTGTAGTTATGTTATTAACATATATTGTGAGTTATCTTGGATCAGTACTTAATGCTGCATTATCATTATTTGGTGTTTTATCTGGTCCAATAATGGGTGTTTTTTTTCTTGGTTTCTTTTTTCCAAAAGCAAATAGTCATGGTGGTTTTATTGGTTTTTTAACAAGTCTTTGTTTACAATTATGGATTCTTTTGGGAGCACAACTAACTAAAAAACAAGTGAAAAGTAAACGTTTACCATTATCAGTTGCTAATTGTTCTGTACCAATTAATATTACAACACCAATAACAAATCCAATCAAGTCAGATTTTTGAAGAAGAGATCTTAGAATTTAATTAAAACTTTTATCTTTTTTTAGATTAAATCCATTACTTGATTTTTATTCTATTAGTTATCTATGGTATTCACCAATAGCTCTTGGTACTGTTATAACTGTTGGAATGATTGTATCTTATTTAACTCGTCCAGTTAAACCAAAGGAAATCGATCCGAAATTAATAATACCTGTTAGTGGTATATGTTGTTTTTGTTTACCTAAACGTATACGTGATTGGCTTCGATGTGGTTTTACAGATGATGATTATTTAGAAAAAAAGGTTTGTTTATCAATCAAATAAGACTATGAAATAAATTGTTTTTCTTTTTTATTTATTAAAGGTTCAGAATAATAATGAATTAATAGTGCCAAAAGGATGTAATACAATCCATACTAGTAAAATTCAACAGACACTTGGTACAAATACCATAGCTATATTTCCATCGGGTGTTGTCATAAGAACAACAATGAATGGTGCTTATGATAATCCAACAATATGGACGAAAGACTAAGAATTTGAATTTATACTCTAGACTGAATGTCTAGGATCTATCTGTGTGTTTGTCTGCAACATATTTGTAAAACCGCCATCTGTTTTGTTTTTTTTGGCCTTGTATAGTTGTTTATTGTTCGGAATTTTTTTATTTTTGATCTCTAAAATTTTCTTGATTATTTGGATTCTGTAGGATTTTTGTCCAGTTTGGAAGGCTAGCCTTCAAGAAAAATGTTCAATCCATATTGTCTATGTTCCCGTATGAAATACAAACTCATTCTTCTAGATTTCAGCAACATTCCTACGTTTGTGTTGAATAATCAGTGGAACGAAAACCAGTTTCTTCGAATATGCAGATAGCTAAAAGATATGCTATGGAAGTATCTATGGTACTTTTTGGAATGAAATACGAGAAGTTAATTAAGTCAGCAAGCACGATATTCACTACCATCGACATTTACGTGGTTCTCAGGCAAAGAGATCAATATATTGTCGACTTCTTTTTCTTCCTGCTTGGATTGAAGCATGGAAGGAGGACCCTGATGAGTGTTGTCTCGAAATATATTGAATAATTTTAGCGTAGACGACGCACATTGATAGTATCAAATGAAAATCCTCTATTGAAGTTTCAGATCTCAATTTATTAGGGTGGAAAAGAAAAAGTGAAGAAAAGAGAAAAATTCCGTTTTCTCGAATTGATAAGATCATTAGATGTTCACCCATGTGGTACTTAACGCAGCCTGATAATAGAATATGTTCCTTCGTACGTCCTTTTTTCGCTCTTCTAATTTTACGAATTAAAATATATCCTTTTATGCTGTGTGGAAATTGCTCATTTTTCAAATTCTATTAGGTTGGCAAGAAAATTTTTGCGTTTTTTTAAAAATTTCCTAGAACAGTCGAGAAAGTTCTAGAAGTTTCCATTCTAAGGGTATATAAAGGAGGTGCGAATGTCTTTCGTACAACAACAAAACTATGGATATGGACGTTGATCTCGAATTAGAAATGAAGATATCTCATAGAGGCCTCCGAATGCTTCTGCTTCATTAATTCCGTTTGGGTCGCAAAGCAATGGAAGCAACCAACAACATATGCGGCACGATGGGCAAGGATGTGCTCTTCATCCGCACAGCGCAACATTGATTCAATCTGTTCAAGAATGCTTGCATGGAATTAATGACATCTCATCACAACTACCAATGGCTCCACAATCTTATTATCGGCAACGAAAAGTGGGTGTTGTATGTTAACCACACGCGCAAGCGACAGTGACTGAAAGCTGGACAAACAGGTTTACCAACGCCCAAAAATGACTTTCATTCAAAGCAGATTATGGTGAACGTTTGGTGGGGAGGGTGTGGGTGTGGGTGGGTGTGGGTGGGTGTGGGTGTGTGGGTGTGGGTGGGTGTGTGGGTGTGTGTGGGTGTGGGGTGTGGGTGTGGATCATTTCTTCGCCCACACCCACCCCACACCCACACCCACACCCACACCCACACCCACACCCACACCCACGCCCACACCCACACCCACACCCACACCCACACCCACACCCACACCTACACCCACCCCCACACCCGCACCCACACACCACACCCACACCCACACTCCACACCCACACCCACACCCACACCCACACCCACCCACACTCACACCCACGCCCTTGTATGAACAAACTCCGGCACAGCGACACATCATCGATTCATTTCGACCTGATATTAAATCCAATAGTTTTCAACGACCACGCTCTA